TTGTCCATGATCACGGCCACAAAGAGGTTAATGATCTGGGGGGGGGGTCAGAGGTCAAGCAGCGAAAAGACGGGGGGCAGGGTCCCCATGGGGGGACATCTCGTGCCCATGCAGCATAGGGGTCACTGGGGGGTTATGGCAGATTGGGGGGTTGAGGGGGCAAATGACCCCCAGGAAAGGGGCGTAGCCCTGGGGGGGCTGGTGCCCATGGAACATGGGGGGCCCTGGGGCCTCTGGCAGATGATGGGGGGGTCCCATGGTGGAGGAGCCGGGTGCCCACAGGGGGCCGGGGTCTGGCGGATGGGGGGGTCCCACGGGGGGCAGGGCGGGGGGCTCACCAGGAAGGCACAGAGCATGAAGAAACTGATGAAATAGACGATGGCGAAGTGACTCCCGCAGGTGAATTCCTCGCCGGGCCCCACGTCCGACTCGGGGTCGCAGCGTTTCCCGGGCAGGCTGGCCAGCATGATCTCCTGCCAGGCCTCCCCCGTGGCGCACCTGGGGGGCCGGGGGGGGTCAGCCGGGCCCCGTCTAGCCCCGTGGCGCCCCACGGTGCCCCCTGCCCCCCCCAGCACCCCCGCAGCCCCATGGCACCCGGCCCCACCCAGCCCCATGGCGCCCCCTGCCCCTCCAGCACCCGGCCCAGCCCCACGGCACCCGGCCCCACCCAGCCCCACGGCGCCCCATGGTACCCCCTGCCCCCTCCAGCACCCGGCCCAGCCCAGCCCCACAGCAGCCCCCAGTTCCCGGCCCCACCCAGCTCCACGGCGCCCCCCAGGCCTACCCCAGGGTGGAGAGTTGGGGGGACGGTGGAGCCCTGGGGTGGAGTTGAGACATTGGGGGCCTCAGGGGGGAAGTTGGAGAGACGGCAGATTCCTGGGGGCAGTTGGGGCATCAGGGCCCCCTGGGGGGGTGTGACAAACTGGGACTGTCCTTACTGGGGTCTGTGAGGGGGATGTGGCTAGGACGGTCTGCATTGGGGGATGGGAGACTGACCGACGGAGAATACCTGAGCAGGTAACATGAGAACCCAGGAAGGGGTTAGAGGCCAGGTGACACCTTTGCCCGGGAAACTGAACAAAGGCTGTGGGAGGGGTCGCTGAAGGCAGAGTCTCAGGAGCGGGTTGGTGAGGTGGCTGGGAGGCAAAGAGGGCTGTGACCTCCCAAGGGGGCTGTGGGGCCCTGGGACCCCAAGATGGACCTAACCGAGGGGGGTCCTGTTGTCTGTGCCTGCAAGACCTGTCTTGGACTGTATTCCTGTCGTCTAAATAAACCACCTGCTTTACTGGCTGGCTGAGAGTCATAGTGAATCGCAGGAAGCCGGGGGTGCAGGGCCCTGAGTCCCCCTATACTCCGTGACACGGGGGAGTTGGGGTGTCCGGGGCTCCGGGGTGGGGAGTTGGGGAGATGGCAGAGCCCCAGGTGGGGATTTGGGGCATCGGGGGCCCAGAGGGGAGTGGGGGCGTCGGAGGGAGTTGGGGAGGTGGCAGAGCCCCAGGGGGGGGGTTGGGGGGGGCGGGGGCCCCGGGGGGAGTTGGGGAGGTGGCAGAGCCCCTGGGGGGAGTTGGGGCGTCGGGTACCTGAAGAGCAGCAGCACAGCCTGGGGG